AGAAGAGAAACTCTAAATTTTTGCTAAAAATCCTTTCTAAGGAGGCCAGCTGGGTTAGGCTGACAAACGGTAAATTCCCACTAAGCGGCTTTGTTAACCAAACGAAGCAGTGGTTTACTCTTCCTGACCTGATTCTGGTATGGCATTAACATCACCTAAGTCGCTCCCTTTCCTGCCTCCCACCTCCCTCTTCCTTCTCCCTGCCCGCTCCTAAAAAAAAAAAAAACAAAAAAAAAACATCACCTAAAAGATAAGAAGTCCCTTGTCTTAACTCAAGCATCCTACAGATGCTATCATAAAATTTAAATATCTTAATCTCAAGCATTCTAGCAGCGCCAATTGTAAATTTAAAATGCCTCCTGTCTGGACCTCCGAAGTGCTCATACCCTTATCTTAAAGTAAGCATATCCTTTCTGGTCTTCTAGATAAAGTCTAACTCTCTCAGCCAATTGCCAGCCAAAGAATCTTAAACCCACCTTATAACCTGTAAGCCCCCCGCACCCCTTCAAAGATGTCCCACCTTTTTGGGCCAAAACCAATGTATGCCTCTCATGTATTGATTTGTAACTTTGCCTGTAACCCCTGTCTCTCTGAAAATGTATAAAACTGAACTGTAACCAGCCACAGCAAGTCCACTTGCCCAAGGCCTCTTGGCAGTGGCTCCAGGTCATGGTCCCTCAAATCTGGCTCAGAATAATCTCTTAAAATTATTTTACAGAGTTGGCTTTTTTCCGTCGACTAGAATTCAAACACACAGTTAACGACATTCATTTTGAATGTATTCCAATGATGCAACCCTATTCTTCTATTTCAAATATTGAAAATAATAAACACAAACACTCCTTGAATCTTTCAAAATTAATGAGGGAGGGAATGCTTCTAAATTCAATGATGAGTTGTTACCTTGACTGCAAAGACAAATAAAGGCCCTACAAGATAAGAAAACCATAGCGCAATACTATTGATTAATCAAATGCAAAAGTCCTTAACAAAATGCTGGCAAGACAAACCTTCAGAAGCACACAAAATAATCACACATCATGACCAAAAGGGATTTATTCCTGGAAGGCAAGGGGGTTGCAACTTAGAAACAGGAATCCGTGTCACACTCCAAAAACAACACAATAGAGGAAAAACCATATATTCAATCCTAGTTGATGCACAAACTTCCGATTTAAAAATGTCAACAGCAATGCATAATAAAACACTCCAGACACTAGAAATACAAGGAATCTACTTAACATAATAAAGGACACATATAAGAAGCTAACAGCTAACTTCATACTCAAAACTGAAACAATGAAGGCTCTTCCATTAAGTTGAGAAAGAAGACAATGAAAGCCTACTTGCATTATTTCTATAAAACATACAGTTGTCCCTCAGTATGCAGGGAGAATTAGGTCAGGTCCCCCCATGATACCACATTCCGTGGATGCTCGTCCATATCTATGGTTTCTACATCCTCAGGTTCGACTAAACACAGATTGAAAAATATAGTCTGCCTTTGTATCCCTGGGTTCCACGTGTGCGGATTCATCTACTGTGCTTGGCTGATGTAGGCGTCATTGAATTTGTGCATGCAGAAGCTATGGATATGGAGGGCAAAGTGTAGTTACTGCAATCCTAGCTAAAGCAATGAGAAAAGAGAAAGAAATAACACGCATGCAATTAGAAAAGACATAAAATGATCTTTGTTCAGATGACAATCTTCTACGAAGAAAATCCTAGAGATTCCACAAAAACCTGTTGGAACTAATGAACGAATTAAAAGATATAGGATACAAAATCTACTTAAAATTACTTTCTTTCATATACATTAACATAAATAATGCCAAAAAAAAATAAGTAAATAATTTGATTTACCATACCATCCAAAAGAATTATATACTTAGAAATGAGCTTAACAAGGAGGAAAAGGATTTGTAAACAGAAATGTAAGAAACATTACTGAAAGAAATTAGAGGACACACAAATAAATGCAAAATTGTCCCATGTTCATGCTTTCGAAGACTTGATGTGAAAGTGACCCACACATTCAGTGAAATCCTTAGCAAAATCCTAATGAAACTTTAAACAAAAATGAATCTATCCTTAAATTAAAAAGAAATCACATGATCACCTCAATAGGAAAATAAACTTCAAAGAATTACAGCAAGAGATCTTACATTGCCAGAGTATAAAACTCATTACAAAGCTACCTTAATCAACTCAATACAGTACTGCCATGAAGACAGATGTATGAAGCAATGGAATAGAACACTACTTACAACGAAACTCTTAAATATATGGTCTAATGATGGTCAACCATGGTGACAAGACCATTTAGAGGGGAAAGGACAATCCCTTCATCAAAGAGTCCTAGGAGCTGGGTATAGTGGCTCGCACCTGTAATTCTAGCACTCTGGGAGGCCAAGGTAGGTGGATCCTTTGAGCTGAGGAGTAGGAGACCAGCCTCAGCAACAGCGAGACCCCCTCTAAAAAAATAGAAAGAAATTAGCTGGACAACTGAAAATATACATAGAATAAATTAGCTAGGCATGGTGGCACGTGCCTGAAGTCCCAGCAACTTGGGAGGCTGAGGCAGGAGGATTGAGCCCAGCAGTTTGAGGTTGCTGTAAGCTAGGCTGAGGCCACAGCACTCTAGCCCGGGCAACAAAGTGAGACTCTCTCTCAAAAAAAAAAAAAGAAACAGTCCTAAGCAAATTGGATATACACATGCAAAAGAATGAAGCTGGACCCTGATGTTACACCATAGTAAAAATTTACCTAAAGTGGATTCATGATTTAAATAAGAGACCTAAGATTATAAAACTCACAGTGGAAATTATAGGTAAAAAGCTTCATGAGATTGGATTCAACCATGATTTCCTGGATATGACACCAATACACAGAAAAGGTAAAAATACCCATTAGCATGTCTATTTTCAAAATAATAAGAGAAAAATCCCCATGTAATAGAAAGTATTGGTGAGAATAGGAGAAAGGAAAGACTCCAACCCTGCTGGTGAGAATGTAAAATGGTGCAAGCTATGGAAAACAGTATGAAATTGCAACATATAATTCAAAATTGGGAATTCTCTTATAAGCCAATAATATCACTTCTTGGTATATATTCAAAAAAACTGAAGACAGGATTGTGAGAAGCTATATACAAACCCATGTTCAAAGAAAAACCCAGCATTATTCAAAACACCCAAGAAGCAGAAGCAACCGAGGTGTTCACTAACAGACGGATAAACAAAATGTGGGATATATTAAACATGAAAGAAAAATGATTCAGAGTTCATTAAAAAAAAGAAATTACTTCATATGCTACAATATGGTTTAACCTGGAGAACACTACACTAAGTGAAGCAAGCCTGACATGAAATTACAAATACTCTATGATTCCACTTCTATCGTCTTTCCTCGAAAATGAGACAGGGTCTTCTATTTATTTTTCCTTAAGATGACAACCTAGGGCTTATTTTCAAGGATGTGTTATTTTTTTTAAGTACGGTACAACAATCTACATTTATTCAAGTAGAGTTAAATTGTCTTCTTCTGGAACATCATCATAACTCTACAAACCCCAAATTCCATCCTAAATTTCTTGTGACTCTATTTCCTTTAGAACCATTGGCCCTAATCTCTCATAATGAGCAATAGAGCTCTCATGGGGCAGATGGGAAGGGCTGCGAGTCTTCTTTACTGCTGCCTAGCCGCGCCCATCACTAGGTCTTATTTTCCAGGTAGGGCATATATTGCTGAAATGCTTAGAAATCCTGCTAGGGCTTATTTTATATGTAGGTCTTATTTTTGGGGAAACACGGTATTAGGCACCTGAAATTGTCAAACACATACAAACAGAAAAGGGGAGGGCAGTCAAAATAGGGTAGTGAAAGTGACTTTCAATATCATGGCAGTGAAATATTTCTAAATACAAAGAATGAGAAAAACATGATGCATTTTAGGTCTGCTAATCTCATACAACGTTAAGATATTGTAAAATTTCTTTGAAAACAAAAGGAGCATGATGTCAGAGGTATCACCACTTTACATATTAATAGATAAAAAGTTGTGCTTGTGCAATGAATGAAAGCTTATGTGCATGTATCTAAAATGAATAGATCTAACTTCATAATTACCACCAGAAGAACATGAATAACTACATGGACAAAATTAGTAAATGACCTGCAGTGAGGATGGCTCACACTGAAGGGCACTGTTAGGAGCAGCAAAGAGCAGCAACATACCCTGGCGGTGGTGTGGGCACCCATGGACAAGGTTATCAGAAACACAGGCAGCAAGTAAGGGTGAGAGAACAATAGGACAGCACCAGGCTGTGGGTCACCAGGGACCAGGTGAACATTACAGGAAAGTCAGATGAAAAGAGTTCACAGAAGCCAGATGACAGGTGTAGTCCCATAGAATATCTTTATTCTACTTTGCCCTGGTCTCTGTTTGAGCTGCAGCACCCCCTGGAGGCCAAAAGGATAAACTATCACATGTCTAAAGAAGAGAGTGGTAAGTGTGGGCAAAGATTTCTGCTTAGAGCTCACAGAATTAAAACTTTGTTTGACCACCTAACTCCCTGACTTGCAAACTTTTCCAAACACTGTTTAATAGTGTGGCTTCCACTGTGCCCACCGGAGCTCTTACCTGAATGCAAACCTGGGATCCTCTCCCCCCTATTTGAGTTTCCTGGTGTTTTCATTTCACTGTCCATAGTCCAGGGATCTTCCCCTTCCTCCAACACAGAGATAACCCTCAGGTCAGGAAGCAAGATTCCTGCTAGGAAAAACAAACAATCAAGAAGTGCTGTGGCTTTGCCAAAATCCAAGCCCTATATTTAGGTAGGAGAGAGGACATTACAAATGGAACAAGAAACATACTCCACAAAGTCATCCACAGTCGGTGTCTTTCTGAATGTGTATACAAGTGAGTTATGCAAACATTTAGCTCTCCTCCAGAACTACTGAGGCGAAAGGTTGGGAGGAGAAGACAAGGACCTGGACATTTTTAAAGTTTACCGCAAGGCTTTTTTACATATGAAAACCGTTGTACCACAAAATGATGTATTATGAAGAAGACAGAACACTTGAAGAAAGGGGACATTTAAAGTCCAGAAGGCATTATGGAGCTTTCATTTCTGAGGCAATAAGACTTCCATCCCAGTCAAGCAATGCAGGGCCTCCCAAGGGGCACACAGAGAAAATGCAGACACACACAAGGCAGATCCCTATGTCGAGAGCCACGTTATCCTCACCCAGGGAGACCAGGTTCCTGTAGTTCTCCAACATCACGGCCCTGTATAAAGCCCTCTGAGCAGGGTCCAGGCACTTCCACTCTTCCTGAGAGAATTCTATGGCCACATCCCTGAATGTCAAATGTCCCTAAAAGGTTAAACATAGTTCAGGAATGAGATGGGAAGAATGCCTCTCTTCACATAAAATGAGGATAGAACTATAAAAACTGATTTGATTGAAGTGAGTGTTCTGACAGATCCACATTAATGTATTTTTGAGCTCATTATGTATTTTTTTTTTTTTTTTGGAGACAGAGTCTCGCTTTGTTGCCCAGGCTAGATTGAGTGCCGTGGCATCAGCCTAGCTCACAGCAACCTCAAACTCCTGGGCTCAAGGAATCCTATTGCCTCAGCCTCCCGATTAGCCGGGACTACAGGCATGTGCCACCATGCTCGGCTAATATTTTCTATATATATTAGTTGGCCAAGTAATTTCTTTCTATTTATAGTAGAGACAGGGTCTCGCTCTTGCTCAGGCTGTTTTGAACTCCTGACCTCCAAGAATCCAACCGCCTTCACCTCCCAGAGTGCCAGGATTAAAGGCGTGAGCCACCTCGTCCAGCCGCATTATGTGTTTTATAATACTTTTCCATAAGAAGTTATAATATTCTATAAATTAGTGTGGATCTTATTTTTGTGGACAATACAAGGAAAACAAAAATTTAACATAGATTTATCTCTTTTCTCTATACAGGTGTTGGATGTTCTGTCTGCCACACTGATATTCAGTATGCACCTGAACTAGAATATTGGGAGTGTCTTCAAGGTGAGTACATCCATAGTGGCTTGTAAAAGAAAATCAGAATATAAAAACTAGCTGAGCCAATGGGAGGCTCACACATCTAATCCTAGGACTCTGGAGGTGAAGGCAGGCGTATCATTGAAGCTCAGGAGTTGGAGACCCGCCTGAGCAAGAGGCAGACTCTGTCTATAAAAATAGAAAGAAATTGGCCAGGCACGGTGGCTCACCCCTCTAATGCTAGCACTCTGGGAGGCGGATGAAGGCGGATCCCTTAAGGTCAGGAGTTCAAAACCAGCCTGAGCAAGAGCGAGACCCCGTCTCTCAAAACAGAAAAAAATTAATTGGCAAACTAAAAATATATAGAAAAATTAGCCAGGCATGCTGGCACATGCCTGTAGTCCCAGCTGTTACTCGGGAGGGTGAGGCAGTCAGATTTCTTGAGCCCAAGAGTTTGAAGTTGCTGTGAGCTAGGCTCTTGCCACGGCACTCTAGCTGAGGTTGCTGTGAGCTAGGCTCTTGCCACGGCACTCTAGCTCGAGCAACAGAGTAAGACTCTATCTCAAAAAAAAAAAAAAAAGAGAGAGAAAACATCTTGCTAAATGATATGAACATCTTATGACATATATTATAGGTAAACATATGATCTGAAACTTGCACTATAAAATATCACAACAAAACATTCACTGAAGAATTTTTTCCAAGTCAGCATGTGCCTAACGCTTTTAATCCTAGCACTTTTGGAGGTCAGGGGGGAAAGACTGAAGTTCAACTCCAGGCTGAGTAACATAACTAGACCCCATCTCTATAAAAAGGAAAAAAAAAAAAAAATCAACCAGGAACAGTGATGTGTGCCTACACTGTAAGCTACTTGGGAGGCTGAGGTGGGAGGATGGGTTGAGCACAGGAATTCAGGCCTACACTGATCTGAGAATGTGCCAGCGCACTCCAGTCTGGACAGTCAGAGATCCGGTCGGGAAAACAAACCAGACAAAAAAGAATCCATGCTGGAACTCCACAGTCTCTGTGGCATGGATATACTGAGAATAACTGAACCAATCTGCTGCTCTCAGACATTGATGTTGATGTCATATTTTAAAATAGATGATGGAATAAACCACTCTCACTGATGTCTATTTTTCCATAGTATTCCTGGTCAGAAATAATCTGGCATTGGAAAAACAGCGATTCACTCCTTTAGCTTGAAAGTTGGTAGAAATTCAGACAGAAGAGATCTCCCCTAGCTGGGTATAATGGCTAACACTTGCAATCCTAGCACTCTGGGAGGCCAAGGTGGGTGGATTATTTTTGCTCAGGAGTTCAAGAGCAGCCCAAGCAAGAGCAAGACCCTGTCTCTACTAAAAATACAATCAAATTAGCTAGACAACTCAAAGTATATAGAAAAAATTAGCCAGGCATTGTGGCGCATGCCTGTAGTCCCAGCTACTCCGGAGGTTGAGGCAGAGGGATCACTGGAGCACAGGAGTTTGAGGTTGCTGTGAGCTAGGCTGATGCCATGGCACTAACTCTAGAACAGGCAACAGCTCAAAAAAAAAAAAAGAAGAAGAAAAACAGAAAAGATCTTCTCTAACAGGTCCCCTGCTCCAGAATTCAGCATGCTAAGCCCTGACTTCCAAGTGCAGCTTGTCTAACGCTGCTCTGCAGAGAGCTGACAGGACACCCAAAAGTGGCCCCTGAACAGTCCCTGCTGCTCAACAGCACTGACACGACGGGGCCACAGCGCCTCTCTAACCTATGTCACCGTGTGAAGCCCTTCCCAGGACTGTGCCCAATGGAGCCACTTCACCAGGTCATGTGACTAGGTCACGGTGACATGGAATCAAAGTGGAGATGAGAGGCACTGAAGGCAGGCATGGGTGAGTGGGAGCAAACATGTCAGTGACAATGGCTCAGAGTCAGAGAAGACTAGCAACTCCAATGCCCGGCATTTGAGAGGAAGAAGACACAGAAGGATCCACAAAGATTGTTACTTTACCTGAGTAACAGCCATTCTTGACTCCTTTTCTTTCCTCTTCCTCCTGATCTGGGATTCTTCCTCACCCATCATCAATCTTTAAAAGTCAATCCTGAATGTCAAAAATATGCTGTTCAATGCTGAGAATCAACACACGCCCCCCTCTGTGCCACAATCCATGAAGAGCAAAAGACGTCCCACGTAAAAAGGTGGTCTCTCCTGTCCATTACACCAAGGGGGCATGCAGGGACAATCAACTCACAGGTGACGATCAACTGGTGAGTCTATGACCCCTTTCACCAGAACTGGCTCCCCTCCTGGTGAAGCCCACACTCACGCTGCAGCAGTGGGGAGCTGGGCTGGGCTCAGCTCCCCTGCAGAGCACAGGTGTGGCCTTGATTGACGTGGCCGGATTACAAGACGGGGGATGACACAGACCATAAAATAATGACACAGACACACATAGACATGACAATGACTTGAGTGACCAATGCACCGGTCGCTTTATTTTTATACCCCCCAGACCCAAGCTTAGTTTCTTGTACATGAGCATCTGAGCATAACAGCGATATCAGTTAATTCTGGAGTTGTTTCAAAAGGGAACAATTTCCCATGGTCTCAGACCTCTAACGGTTACTAAAGTTAAGGTGCCAGACAGAGCTCAAAACACAAGGCCGAGATAGGCAACATAAGACAATGCAGCCATTTGAAATGCTTCTTGGTCTCAATCCCAGGTGGCGGCTCCTCCCTGGCCCCCACGGTTGTGCCTGTTTTAGGTCGACCCCCTCCATGGGGAGCCTTACCCATCATTGACTACCAACCGTCAATCGGGGGCCAGTAGTTGGGAGAGTTCTTGTTCTTGTTCTCATGGCCTCCAGACTCCCACCATGGGGGCCCTCCGTGTGGGAGTTGGGAGTATTTGCTTATGTGCAACAACTCAGGCCTCTTATCAAGTCACAAGGCAGCAACTGTGTCTTAAGAAAATGCTGACTACCGCTGCGTCAGAGAGCACACGCACATTACAGGCTGCAGTGAATGATTAGTATAAGGCATAACACCAGAATAAGCCCCTAACACCTGACCACACCTGATGCAGACCACAGGCCCCCTCCCCCCTCCAGGAATCACAGGCTGATCTCAGCCTTCAGAAATGGAGGACACAGACTTGTGGTTATCTCCCATGAAAACAAAGTCGCATCAACTCTAAATACTCTTCAGCCTGGGCCCACCCTGACTATGGGGAATGCAATCTCTGCCAACGAGACAAAATAAATATATGCCAAATGCCTCAGCACCCTAATGTGAAGCCAGGGGTGAGCTCCACTCAGAGGGGCAAGGCCAGGATCCCGCTCAACTTCTGCCTCTGCTCTTCTCTTTGCCACTTGTCACCAGCGTGCAGAGACAGAAAGGTGAAGGAACATGAAGAAACATGCAGAGCAGCCAATATGGACCACAGGTGGGGGTCAAGGTGTGGCTGGAATGTTAAATGGGGTCAGGGTTTTCAACACAGAAGACACCTGAAAAAAAGAAAAAAAACTATAAAGAATAAAAAGAATAAAATATATTTTAATAAAAAAAAAATGGGGTCAGGGATAACAGAAGTCCTCTCTGAGAAGGTGATATCAGAACAAAGACCTGGGGAAGGGAGGGTGCTTCTTACATGCAGCCGAGTGGTTCTTACATGCAGAGAGTTCTAGGCAGAGGGACAGCCCAGGAGAAGACCCCGAGGCAGGAGCAACCGTGGAAAAGGGAAGAGGCCTGTGTGGCTGGAGCAGGGCCAGCGAGGACGACACAAGCAGGAGATGAGGCCAGAAGGGTCCTGGGGGAGCAGAGCAGGGAGGGCCCAGGTCTGCAAACTCACTTCTCCCACGTCTCAAGAGAATTTCAAGACGATGTATTTCCAAAACTGTTTTAGTAGCCATGTGATTATTTTCTTTATTTCATACAAAAATTGTCCTATATATCTTTTTTTTTTTTTTTTTTTTTTTTTGAGACAGAGTCTTACTTTGTTGCCCTGGCTAGAGTGAGTGGCGTGGTGTCAGACGGGGTCTCTGCTCTTGCTCCGGGCTGGTTTCGAACTCCTGACCTCGAGCAATCTGCCCACCTCGGCCTCCCAGAGTGCTAGGATTACAGGCGTGAGCTACAGCGCCCGGCCTGTCCTATATATCTTAAATATATGACAAGAAATTGCACTAAGCTCCAGGAAGTATGGGGTCCTCCTAATCTGAGATGTGAGGACTGCAGGGGTACATGTTTAGGAGAGCTGAGAAAGCCCCTCTTGGATATACGAAGAGGGAGATGATGACAGACGTCCTGGCACTGAGTTAAGGACACAACTGGACACAGGACTCTAGAGGTCAGGAGAGGGGGCTGCAAGGGAAACAGAAACATGCCAGAGGGGCTTAAACCAGGAGATGAGAATACGGAAAGGCAGTGGGTGTGGACAGACATGACAAGAGGTTCAGGCACTAAATGATGGGATACTCCCACATTCAGAGAATGCAGTTTAGGAGACACCAGATGAGGAAACTGGTGAGAGATGAAGGTGACAAGAAAAGTCTAAAACACAGTAATTTTCAAAGTTTAGAGAGATGTCCCCAAATGGAAAAAAGAAGAAATAATCAGCTGTGCATCAAGCAGTAGACAGGAAAGGTGAAGACAGGAAATTAAAAAGAGGATTTAGAAATGCGGAGATCACTTGTGTCAGAGAAAGAAATGATCAATGGAATGGTGGATGTGCAAGCTTGCCTGGAAGGGGTAAATGAAGAATTCAAGGGCCAGGCGTGGAGCCACCTGTAATCCTAGCACTCTGGGAGGCCGAGGAGGGCGGATTGCTCAAGGTCAGGGTTTCAAACCTACAAGAAAGAGGCCCCGTCTCTACTACAAATAGAAAGAAATTAATTGGCCAACTAATATATATAGAAATAGTTAGCCAGGCATGGTGGCCCATGCCTGTAGTCCCAGCTACTAGGGAGGCTGAAGCAGCAGGACTGCTTGAGCCCAAGAGTTTGAGGTTGCTGTGAGTTATGCTGATGCCACGGCACTCACTCTAGTCTGAGGAACAAAGTGATACAGTGCCTCAAAAAAAAAAAAAAATAATTAATTGGCCAACTAATGCATATAGAAAAAAATCAGCCAGGCATGGTGGCACATGCCTTTAGTCCCAGCTACTTGGCAGGCTGAGGCAGGAGGATTGCTTGAGCCCAGGAGTTTAAGGTTGCTGTGAAGCTTAGGCTGACACCATGGCACTCCCTCTAGCCTTAGCAACAAAGTGAGACTCTGTCTGAAAAAAAACAAAACAAAAAAACAAAAACAAAAACAAAAAAATAATTCTAGATAAGAATGAAAGACATGTGACATAACCTAGATTTTAAGGTTTGGCTAAGGGAGGAAATGCCTTCCCTTTAATGTTTGACATAGAAAAACACTAATCATACTTAAAACAGAATATTTTACCTCTAGTCACAAATGTGTATGTGTTTTTTCCCCCAATGGCCAGTTATCTGAGACACTCCTACCTGGCTGCCCTATAATTTAACCCAATTTTTTTTTTTTTTTACCTGCAGGAATCTGGACAATAGCTGAGCATGTTGTTTTTTTTTTGAGACAGAGTCTCACTTTGTTGCCCAGGCTAGCTCACAGCAACCTCAAACTCCTGGGCTCAGGCGATCCTCCTGCCTCAGCCTCCCAAGTAGCTGGGACTACAGGCATGCACCACCATGCCCGGCTAATTTTATTTATATATATATATGTATATATATGTATATATATATATATATTAGTTGGCCAATTAATTTCTTTCTATTTGTAGTAGAGACGAGGTCTTGCTCTTGCTCAGGCTGGTATCGAACTCCTGACCTCGAGCAATCCTCCCACCTCAGCCTTCCAGAGTGCTAGGACCAATCTTGATACTATAGACCTGCACATAGGGTCAGATCTCATAGCTTAAGGACTAAGTCCCAAAGACTGTCCCTCCCTTCTGATGCAGATAAATATCATAGTTTCCAAAACCCCCTCCTAGGTTTTTATTAATTTGTGAGAATAGTTTTTGGTTCTCAGTGTTACAATTTGTAATAACCTTTTTAATAAATGAGTAAACATAAGTAAAATGTTTCCCAGAGTTTGTGAACAGCTCTATCAACTTAATAAAATGTGAGGAAAGGGTCATGAAATATCTAATTTGATAGCTATTAAGTCAGAAGTTCAGGTCCCAATTTGGGATCTGGGACTGGCATCTGATGTGAGGCACTTCTGTGCAACTGAGCCCTCCAACTCTGGATCGGATCCTATCTCCAGGTAGTGTGATAACCGACTTATCTTACAGAACACCCTGTCGGTGTCTCCTGGAGAACTGCATGCTGATGGGGAGTAATCCACACACAGTTTACTGACCAGAGGAGAAGTATTCTGTGTTGAGTGCTCACTACTGTATTGATTGTGGAAGCAGGAAAAACACTTTGCTTTTCCTGATATCTTATACACTGCCCCACTCCCTATACCATCATAGGAAAAATGAAGACATTGACCCACAACTGAATGAGTCAAGTCACTGCCCTTTGCTGAATCCAGGCTATAAGTGGGAGGGAGCCTGTGATGCTCAGAATGGTTTAATGCACCAGCCTTATACACAGGAGATGTGCAATTCTGAACTTCATCTGTGTACTGCCAACAAATGCTAAAGTGATTAGATTACAAATAGAGGAAACGATGTCACAACTTAATCACCATACCCAAACATCTCAAGAGTCATCTGCAGCCAGGGTCCCCTCTTTCCTTACTACTGGGTTTCCTTCCCTCACTCCAGACATCTCTCTCCTTCTCACTCACCCCCTCTCTCCTGCTCCTGTTTTCCTTTTCTCCTCGGTGCTTCCTCCTGGACTTCTGCTCCTCATTTTGTTTCCCTCTTCTCTCCTGCTCCTTCTCCCCTTCTTCCCTCTACTGCTTCTCTTCTACCTGTTATGCTCCACTCTGGGAACTTTTTAAGCCTTTGTTGCTCCTTCTCCCCAGTCTTTTCACTGTCCCAATCACATGTATTTCTGCCTCTTTCTTCCCATGTCTGCTCCCTCTCTGCTCTCCTGGTAAAATTCCCTCTTTCCTAGAGACACCCCCTTGTCCCCACTCTCTGGCATCCCCAGCTGTGGTGCCCTCTCTGCTCTACTGTCACCAGGTGCTCCCTCTTCTACTCTGTTGGGCCAGGCTGCAAATCATAGGTCCCCTCCCCCACTCTCTGACTCAGGTGCCTCACCTGTGCTGCCCATGGCCCTAGTCTGCTGTCCTTCAGAGCTCAGGAGATCTAGATTTTATCTAAATTTGCTTCAGGGACTTTTCTCCCCGTGCTAGTTCCCAGCTTCTGATTTCACTCTTCCTGTGTCTCTGTAAATCCCTCCCACACCCTATACTTTGCAGCGTGTTCATGTGCTTCTCCTTCTTCCTTTCTCTTTCTACATTCTATTTCCTCTCTCTTGCTGTCCATCTCTTTCTCCACATATTCACACGGAAGGAATAGGAAAACCATGCTCAGCTCCAGAAGAGCACATTTTCTAGTGGGGAGGAATTTGGGATGGAAAACATTGTCACAACACAGGCCCTGGTCACCTCCCCCAACGCAGAATCCCAGGAAGGGGTGACTGGTAAAAGCCTGCGGAGCAGAAGGGCCCGGCCCAAGGAGGAGGTGGAGGGGAGCAGATTAGGAGAGAAGTGGGGTCCGCAGAATCCCTGGACCAGGGAGAAACGCGGCTTCTCCAGGCCTGGGGCTGCGGCGCCGCCCTCCAGGGGTCGGCCAGGGCGAGGCTGGGGGACCCGAAGGGCCTGGACCCACCCTCAGGTGAGGACTTCACGGGGGCGGAGCGAGCGTTAGGGGTCACCGAATAGCTTTCAGCAGGGAAACAGTCCGGAAAGCGCGGTCTGCAGGGCCCGAAGGCAGAAAGGTCGGGCGCAGGACCCGCCTCAGGTGGACTCTAACTCACAGGGAAGCGACACCCGACTCTCCGGGACGTTCACATTCACTCGGGGGCAGAGGGCGGTGAGGATTTCAGGGTCTAAAGGTCCCCCGCTCCCACGTACAGAAGTACTGGGAACTGCTCTGTGGACGAAGGGAAACTCACCTGCCACAGGGTGGCCGTCTCTCCACGCCAGCGTCTTCCGGGTCTGCGGGAAAGTGCGCGCGCAGGCGAGGCCGGGGCGGGGCCGCCATGGTGGGCGGGGCCTGGGCGGGGCCGAGGCGGCGGCTGGGCGGGGCCTGCGCGTCCTGCCACCTGGCTCCTGTCTGCTCCACTTTTCTGCATTCGGGAGGCCAAACCTACCAGGGAGGCTGCAGCATTTCAGCGGTCTGGGAACTGGAATCTGGATGGCGGCGTCAGCGTCGGTTGCTGTTTGAATCCAGGAGAGTTCCTGCAATTAAAATTAAGTTTAGCAATTAAGTTTTCTGTAAAGCACAGGCAAACGAAAATGTGTATCGCAAAACCCGCCTGGGCGGAAGGTGGCATTTCATGCTGATGCCCAACACAACACAGGAGAAATCCTTTCCGTTTCTAGTCCCCGTTCACTCCGGAGGGAGAGTCAAGCCCGAGCTCAGTTTCAGAGCCTTTCACAGGGACGACACCCAGGGCGTGGAGGGCTAAGGTCAGTGACAAGTTAGGTCACCAAGTATTCCTTTAAAAAAGGCAATAACTTAAATATAAGTAGAAATTAGGTGGGTGTTCCTTACAGTTATTATTCTCTTACACTTTTTTTTTCTCTTTATTTAAAAAATTATACAATTTAGGCCTATGGTAAAAAATTCAAGCAATAGAAGAGGGTATTCATAGAAGTCATTTCCTCATTCCCCAGTCCCATTCCCAGGAGTTTGGGTATTATTCTAGAAGTGTTCTGTTGATACATAAGCATAAATATTTTTCATTTAAAAGAACGCATGGGATCATAGTATATATTTTTTATACATATTTTTAAAAAACAACCACATTTCATGGATATCTTTTGATATCAGCACATTCAGACCTGCTTCATTCTTTTTAAAGACTGAGTAATTGATTTAATCAACTGCCTAAAGATGGATGTTTTGATTGATCCCAGTATTTTGTATGAAGCAACATCTTTACATAGTGGAACACTGAATGGGAGTCGGTGAGTCCTAGGAAACATCCTCTCCTAAAAGGTTATGTTTGTCGTTGACTAGACATGATTAGAATAGATTCTAATGATTAGAATAGACTTATGAAAGCAGTATGGCCAGTGGACTCAGAGTTCACAATCTCATTGCTACTAAAAGAACAAGGCTATTCCTATGGTAGGCAAAGAACAGTGATTTAGTCATACAGTAATTGTGTCTCAGATGAGTAACTGCAAATCACTTCAAAGAGTAGAAGGGTAGCTTATGTGTAAAAACGGTCACTGCCACTTCATGTACAGAAAATAAAGTATGTCAATAAACAGCAAAATTAAAAATAAATGGTTTCAGTACAAGCTTGTGTATTTATCTGGTATCAATAAAATGGTTCAAAATAAACCTAAAGAGTAAGTTATAGCTGTGTTAATGGTGAAATGTGATATTTATTGTTTAAATTCAGCAGCTGGAAGAATCCCCTTATATGGAAGATAGGAATAGGAAGCTTAACGTGTGCTATTTCTAGACTGCATTTCTCTTTGGAAGAATATGACCAACCCATCAGATTGTTGGTATTATTGTTACAGCCTTTTCCTTCACCTCTGCATCATGGTGATGAACTAAAGCTCTTATTTTCTGGGCACACTCTTCCCCATAAAACAGGAAAAACAATGAACCGTTAGTGAAAATAGGCTGTACAACTAAATAGCCTTCCATTCTGAGGCAGTTATTTATGTTCTCAAATAACATAAGCACTCGAAGAAGAATCTCCTTTGCTATGTGTCCATCATAAAGGGAAAGGAATGATGAATCCACTTGGGCACCGAGTAGTCCTTCTGTCATGGCTGGATTTTCAGACAAATTCAAAAGCAGTTTCAAAACTTGAACCTTGGTGTTTCCATTTCCAGTAAGTAAACCTGGAACAGGTCTGTAATGTAACTCAAACATGTGCTGGTGGTCATTGGTAACAGTCATGTTTGTTAACAATCTCAGTCCTGCCAGCTGCACAACAGAGTTCGGGGAACCAGAGAAGACATCCTCACAGACTTGATTGATGTATACCTTTATTTTGATTTGATTTTCAACATTCACACTCAGATTATTTAATGCATTTAAAGCTTTCTCTTTAATGTTGGGGTTAGGGCTGTTGATTTTGTTTCCAACAATTGGAATACCACCCAATTCACAAATAATAGCTTGGTTAACCGAAAAGGCTGCATTGTTTCCCACAGTGACCAAAGCTTATTCAATAATTACAGGATCTTCAGTTGACTCAAGTAGGTAAAGGAGTTTCTGAAGTTGTTCAGCATTTAGGACATCATCATATGAACCATTGGTTGAGTCTTCTGCAGACCGAGAGGGACGCAGCCTGAGCCCGCGTCAGCCTGTAAATGCAGTAGCGTGCGCCAGCACGGAGGACAGGCCCGCCGCCGCCCAGCGCACGTCCCGCGCGCCGCGCATCCTGCCGCCGGGCGGGGCGCAGAGTAGGCCCCGGGCAGGAGGCTCGTGGGCGCTGGCGCTGGGGGTCTCCGACGCACGGAGGTCTCGCTGCCGCCCAGAGCAACTGGGCCGGGGAGAAAGAAAATGGGGGTCCGAGCTCCGACTCCCGGAAACGGCCCTGCTAAAATCGTAAATCCTTCCACGCGGCCAGACGCGTCCCAGCGGCTTCCCACAGGCAGGCAGGGGAGCTGGCCTCCGGGAGAAGCCGCGCCGCCTGCGCCCCGCGCGGAGACTCTGGGGGGCGCCGCCCCAAGCTGGCTGCCCCCCCATCTCCGAGGCCCGCCCCGTCTCCGAGGCCCGCCGCGTCTCCGAGGCCCGCCCCGTCTCTTCGTCTGTATGTGTCTGCTCCGCTCGTTTCTCCGAGGCCCGCCGCGTCTCCGAGGCCCGCCCCGTCTCCGAGGCCCGCCGCGTCTCCGAGGCCCGCCCCGCAGCGGCTGCCGCCTCCCTCCCCAGGCCGGGGACAGGGGGAGGCGTCTCTTACACTCCTGAGAGGAGGTAACAAATACCTGTCAGAGAAATTTTGCTGACATCATAATATGTTCACATCAATATGTTATAAATGCATGTAAGTGCATTATGAAAGTAATTAGGAAGAAAACATACTTTTATTTAAAAATTCGAATAGATTTTAGGTCTTTTGTTTTCTCCTTTTCAATACTCTGGCAGGAGTGGAAAACAAAGCCTGTAAAATCATCTTCAGAAGACCATTGGATATATTGACATAAACAATCATGAATTCTGCAATATTTCTAAGTGTATGGAATAGACACATTATTCTCTTTTATGGAACGCTTAAGAAAGCTTATCAAAATTTAAATAGCCTTATGTCTGCCAATAATAATTTTATAGCAATGTTTTTGAATGAACATATAGCAGTAAGTATGTTTTTCTCACATCCTTAGTTGGGAAGGCTTCCTCCATCCTGAGGTGGTAATTAGTGGAAACATGATGTTTAGATATGAAAATTACCATTATTAACATATTAGCAGCTTAAAATGAGCAGAATGAACTGCCATGGAACAGGGATGAATGTGAGAAGTTATGTCAGCTTATTATTATTATTATTATTATTGTTTTGTTTGAGAAACAGGGTCTCCCTATGATGGCCAGGCTAGATTTCAATGCTTGGGCTGATGCAATCCTCCCATCTTAGCCCCACAAGTAGCTAGCATTACAGGTGCATGCCATTCTGACCTATGTCATCATATTTTCTATGTTGCTTGTTTGTTTGTTTATTTATTTATTTTTCAGACATGCTCATGCTCTGTCTCCCAAGCTACAGCACAGGGGTACAATCATACCAAGTGCAAACACAAACTCCTGGGCTCAAGCAATCATCCAGCCTCAGCCTCCCAGAGTGCGAGGATTACAGGCATGACCCACTGTGCCCGGCCTAAGCAAATTATCAAAGTTTAAAAAAACAGTTGCCGCCAGGCCCGGTGGCTCACACCTGTACTCCTAGCACTCTGGGAAGCTGAGGCGGGCGGATTGCTCACTAGAGCCCAAAAGTTTTAGGTTGCTGTGAGCTAGGCTGACACCACGGCACTCTAGCATGGACAACAAAGGGAGACTCTGTCTCCAAAAAAAAAAAAAAAATGTGCAAAGTATGAACTACTTTCACCTACTGAGTATGTATTACAGCTTCTGCCACAAAAAGAAGAGAATATACATATTCTAACACAGATGGAACGAGGAAAATATTTTCCTGTGTTAAAAGAGAAATTCAACTTCAGTCTAGAAGAAATTGTATTGAAAAGGATTATTGCAATAGGGGGAATGCTCCAAAAATAAGCTCCCCAAACATCCAAGAGTCACACAGAAGAGACCTTTTGTTTAAGATGGAAGAAGAAACAGGCTAGGAACGACCAGGCATGGGGCAGAGCATGAGCCCCGGGCATGACCTACACTTCTTCAGGGAATGTTTTGTCCTAAGCCTGGTCTTGGGAGGGCTTGCAGGGAGGAGAGGGTGGTCATTTCACTGACCAAGACTGTCCAAAGTTCAGGGATCTGGGAGGAGGAGGAAAGCTTGAGGTTTGGTAAGTCAGTTAGCCAGCATTTTTCATTGATCATTGAGGACAAACAATTCAATAATCCTTGATAAGAAGAAGGATGGGAATTTGAAGGATCTGTCTCTGGATTTTACCTTTGTAAATAAGGAAGCTATCATTAGACTTAAAGAAGTCCTGTGAGGAGTGTGGTTCTTGCAGTGAGCCATTTCTACAAAACCAAAAGGTGGGTGGAAGGGAGGGGAGTTGTGATGGTTTTTTACACTCTCTTCTTTCCTAGGAGTATCACCATGTTTTATAACATGAGCAAAATTCAAGAATTGACGCACGTCATATTTTACAAATGGACCATGAGAAAATGTAAAGTAAAAATAATAATACCAATAAATGTACCACACATGGGTCTTTCGATGGCACTGAAGGGCCCTGAGTATTCACCTAGCTGTTGGTGCTTGTTCCTGTCACATATAGAAAACATTGCTAACAGTTAAAAGATATGGCTGCTCAGTTGACTGATGAGGAGAAAATTAAGGAAAAATAAAAAGAAAGATGTTGCTGTAAATCCCAAAGTCAGGGTTCTGTGTAATCATTAAATTCAACAACACTTAGAGTTATTTTCAGGAAAATATTTTTCTCTCTTATATTTTCCTGCTGATCGTGGAAAAAAATATGCACACAGCTGCGTGAATCCCTTGGTCATAATTGGACATTACAAGCAGTAATTAAAAGGTAACATCAACATAACAGTCAAAAACTAATTTATCCTGACATCCCCCCTGTACCAGCTGAGCCCTGTTCAAGATAAGGAAGAGGGGATGTTATGTTCTCTAGCAGAGAAAAAAACTGATGAGAATAAATTTTTCTTAACAAACACAAAGAAAGTTCTGTTTTTCTCTGTGACCTGGGAAAGAAAGCTGTAGGTGAATCCACAGTTTAGATTTTTTTTTTTTTTTTTTTTTGAGACAGAGTCTCACTTTGTTGCCCAGGCTAGAGTGAGTGCCGTGGCATCAGCCTAGCTCACAGCAACCTCAAACTCCTGGGCTCAAGCGATCCTCCTGCCTCAGCCTCCCAAGTAGCTGGGACTACAGGCATGCACCACCATGCCCGGCTAATTTTTTCTATATATATTAGTTGGCCAATTAATTTCTTTCTATTTATAGTAGACACGGGGGTCTCGCTCTTGCTCAGGCTGGTTTCGAACTCCTGACCTCGAGCAATCGACCCGCCTGGGCCTCCCAGAGTGCTAGGATTACAGGCGTGAGCCACCTTGCCTGGCCCCACAGTTCAATTTGATATATGGAATTAAATACAGATGTGGATGTAACAGATATTACTTTAAAAGTCTTTGTGTCCACAAACCTGCTGAAAGTCTTCATGTAATCCTTTACTGAGGCCCTATTAGGAATTCAGTGTACCTAAAGCAGTAAACACAAACTAGTTAACCACAAACGTCTTTCAAAAATATCAGGAGAATATAATTAAAATTTTTTTAAAAAATTAGTAGGGAGAGGTCTGAAATTATTTTTGGTTTCTATTTTTAAAATTTCAGAATATTATGGAGGTAGAAAAACATTTTTTTAAATCTATTACTAATCCAAAATTTCTTTGCAGAAAAGTAGTGGAGAAAGAAAACAGGCCCGACAAAGTGGCTCACGCCTGTAATCCTAGCCCTCTGGGAGGCCCAGGCGGGTGGATTGCTCAAGGTCAGGAGTTCAAAACCAGCCTGAGCAAGAGTGAGATCCCCGTTTCTACTATAAATAAAAAGAAATTAATTGGCCAGCTAATATATATAGAAAAAATTAGCCGGGCATGGTAGCACATGCCTATAGTCCCAGCTACTTGGGAAGCTGAGGCAATAGGATTGCTTGAGCCCAGAAGTTTGAGGTTGCTGTGAGCTAGGCAGATGCCATGGCACTCACTCTAGCCTGGGTAACAAAGCGAGACTCTGTCTCAAAAAAAAAAAAAAAAAGAAAAGAAAAGAAAACAATATTACTGGTGAATGAGCATTAAGCCACAATGTGTAGGGCAACAGACACAACCTGCTAAGAGATAAAACAGGAAGGAACCTAGAGCTTCCATACAACTCATTAGGCACTTGTTTTCAAGATAAACACTAAGTAGCCTCAAGTGAGAGGACCTGACAGCACCCTTGGTCATCCTGACTCCGCTGCGTAATGGAGTGACCATCTAGGTTAGCTAATTAGCTTTACCTGGAGGGATGGGGAAAAACCCTAACTCACAGACACATTTATGACAGGTGGTAGGTTTCCAACTTAGAGCCAGGTGCTCACTCTAGTTTGGCTCCTATAATTCCACAGAAACTAAGAGATACAGGTGTTATCTCCCTTAATGTTGACACGTCAAATGCATGGCTCTCAAGTCCATCAGAAAGACATGCCCAGGTTATTATACTACCAAAAGGTTCACTTAGTTTCTCACAATATACATTTCATGAGACACTACTCATATTTACAAGTTTTCTAAGGTAAATGATCTCAGAAAAACACGAGGGAGGAAAAGTGTCTTCCCTTATTTTCAAAGGAGGAGTGAAGCCCACATACAATATTTATCACTGCCCTTAATGTAGGCCAACCGAAGATTTTTAGCTCAGTGAAAAAATGAAGTACCAAGCAAATATATTTCAAAGACATTGGAATTTGGCCAGGCACCATGGCTCATGCCTGTAATGCTAGCACTCTGGGAGGCTGAGTAGGGAGGATTGTTTGATACCAGGGGTTGGAGCTCAGCCAGTCTATACAAAATATAGAAAAATTAGCAGAACATGGTGGCGCCCACCATTAGTCCCAGTTATTTGGGAGGCTGACACAGGTGAATACCTTGAGCCCAGGAGTTTGAGGTTTCAGTAAGCTATGATGACACCATTGTACTCCAGGCCAGGGGATAGAGTAAGCCTCTGTCTCAAAAAAAAAAAAAAAAAAAGGATAGGAATGTGTAATTTCCCTCCAGTGTGAAGCAATGAGCTTTGCATTCCACCTGCCAGTTTCCATACTGTGCAGACCACTCAGGTCCTTGCTTAATTAAATGAGCTCTTGTAATTGCCAGTTCCCAGGGGCAACCACCGCCCCACAGGGACCCTTCACTGAGGCCGCCTCACCCCTCCCACCGCCTAGCCCAGGCAGAGCCCACTCATCTCACCTGTAGGACCCCTGTTTCACCTGCTCACAAAAGGAGCTCTTCATTGGAACCTTTGTCACTTTCATTGGAAGAAACAGCTCAGCATTTGATATAACCGGCCCTTCAGGACTGTGTTCTTTATGTTTAAATTGTCTGCGACACTA